TGGCTGTCGGCTGCAGGCGCCTCGCGGAGCGTGGTGTTTCTCCTGCCGCTCGGACCATGCCGAAAAAAGGAAGTGGCCCCCATTCTGCCAGTCAACAGCGCGGTGTGCTCTGGCCTGGGGCCACCACCCCGGCAGGCAGAGAGGATCGATCCCCGCCCGGCTGGGGTGTGGCTGCCCAGGGCTGTGACCTGGGAAGGAGATGCCTTGGCTGGGGTTTCCCTGGAAGGGGGATCTCTGCTGTGCTCAGAGGTTGGTGGCAAGCTCAGGCATGCCAGTGGCTCCCTGGGACCTTCAGCTGAGGCTGTGGCCGCCCTGTTCCAGGTCAGAAGACGTTCTCACTGGTTTTACTTTCTGCTGTTTGCAGCCTGCCTGTCTGATGCCGCATTGGAAGTGGAGGGCGCCGCTATGGAGTGCAGGGATGGAGGCCACCCTCTGTATCCGCACGTGCCTTTGGCTGAGTGCCGCCTGGATCCCCCTCGCATCGTCAGACGGACTGGCCTGTGGCTGGGAGGGCGCTCCTGGCACTGACGCCCGGCATGGCAAGCTGACGTGGGCTGTCAGCTTGGATGCGCCCGAGGAGGAGCTGGAGCAGCGGGCAGAGGAGCTGGCCCGGACTGCGGGGCTGGTGAACATGGGCCGTGTTGGGGAGCTCAGGGGCCATTACCTCTTCACCTACCAGCCCAAGGGCCACGCGGCAAGCGAACCCGAAGCAATAAGGAGGTCGGTGGACGCTTTGTTTGCACAGCATGACAGCGTGCGGTGGCACTCGGAACAGAAGCTTCTGAAACGCTCCAAACGCAGCCTGCACTTTAACGATCCCAAATACCCCCAGCAGTGGCATCTGGTGAGTGGTTTTCCGGCTCTTGTTGTGCTAGCAGGCTCGGCCTGTTTGCGTGGCCACGAGCAAGATGTCACGTGGCAGGCAGAACGGTCGTTTTTTGTCCTTGCGGTGAGGGGGAAGCTCACTGTGCTCGCTGCGATAACGGGAGGAGGCAGCTCCCGCAGCCGGCCACGCAGCGGTGGCGCTGGGGTGGGCAGAGGGCTTTCAGCTGGGGCATGCTGTACGGTTCGCAGGCTGGAGCACGGTGTCGGCCCTGCGGCACTGGGCACTCCGCTGCGTGGCTTGAGCAACTTTTGCTCGCTGTCCGTGTAAAACAAGTCTTCTGTGACCATCCCCAGCCCTGCATGTCATAGTCTGCGGGCCCGAAAGCTGCAGGAGCCCCTTTCCTCACAGCTGACCCACTCCTCCGCTTTTCTTCTCCCCTCGCTGTCCTTTCTGGTGCTTAGAACAACCGCAAGAGCCCCGGGAAGGACATCAATGTCACGGGTGTCTGGGAGCGGAACGTGACGGGGCGTGGTGTGACGGTGGTGGTGGTGGACGACGGAGTGGAGCACACCATCAAAGACATACAGCCAAATTATGTGAGTGCTGGCTCCACGGCGGGAGCGCGCGAGTGCTCGGCTGCCGGCGGAGCCCGAACCGCGCT